GTGGACTAACAACTATTTTATTGACTCCTCCTTTCCTTCTACTTATATTGTTAATTTTCTTCCGCTTTTTCTTCGTTAATCCTTCTGTTGTCTCCTTTCTCCTATATATCTACCCTGCAGAAAGAGTTTTTGTTTTCTTTATCTTGCGAAGTGATCGAACGGGAACTCACGCAATTATCCTGTTTTCCTACGATACCAAGGGCCACCAACCCACTCCCGTGCAAGCTGTTTTTTTTTTTTTTTCTTATATAATTTCATAATATTCTTTCTTCCTTCCTATCTTCAACTGGTTCCACCCGAAACGAATAACCAACTAGCTGAGCTTATTCCCCTTGTATTTCTTGACAGATTAGTCGCACACAAACTGTCTGCACAAATATTGGAAGCAAACATATGAGTGGTGAAGCAAACAGTGGTGAAGCACACAGTGGTGAAGCACACAGTGGTGAGTGGTGAAGGCGCGTCAAGAGATAATTTAGTCATCATGTCTGCAGCGAACATCCTGTCTTTCGTATGATGTACGAGCATGTGCGACAAGGGGGCTTCAAATCACATCTTCGAGTTTATTTTGCCACGGAACACGAAGACAGCCAATCGGGGGGAACAATAAAAAGAATTCGAGCGAATGACGAAGATAATAATATGATTAGATCTGATAAACAAAAGCCATATGCGGAGAGACAGTGACCAGGTGAACATCGTTATGTCCCTGCGAAAATCGCATTTTTTTTTTTGTTTAATTATATTTCCAGGCTTTCGTCATTCGCTGGGGTTCTTGTATTGCTCGCCGTGATTGGCTGTCTCCGTGATCTGCGTGAAAGTGAACCCACTCACATCTTTTAGAGAGTGCATGCTCGGAAAGACCAAGCGAGGATTGGTTGCCCAGGGAAACGAACCTTACCAGAAACAAAGGAACAAGAATGGAATCAAGTAAAAGAATATGATTTGTACATTTTTACGTTTGAACTGGGAGGTCCTTTAACGCGAATGTTATCAACGGCAAAAATAGTCACTGGCAGAAAAAAAAAAAAAAAATGCGGGACGTAGCAAGTCCCGGGCATTTCATTATAGCTCAGCAGCCAATGAAATTGCGCCGTTAGTCGATAAGGCCGCCCAAGAACCAATCACGAAGAAACGAGGCGTGAACACATTAAGCCACTTCCTGCCTTTCTTCAATTGTCAGTGGAAATTGGAATGTCTATTATCCCCAAAAATACAATATAAAGTTGTAATTTCGGTTCTGGTGGCAAAACGTCCACGAATGTACGACAAAAAAAAAGTTTTCATCTCTAACAATAAAATCGCAACAAAGACGATAAAAAATTACAGACACTAAAAACATTTTTTTCCCTTCAATTCTTAATATTGGAAAAGACTAAACGATTTTTTTTTGTCCATTTGACCTGACAAGTTTTGCTTTTTAATTGAACGAGGTTGAGAACAATGCATATTTGATTTCTTTAGGAAGTATTCATCCCGACCGAGGTCATAAATGTTCAAAATATATTTATTCGCTGCATAGCAACATCAAAGTTATTTACATATGTATGGTGAGAAATACACGGACAGCGTTTCTGAAACCTATTATTTGTCGTAATTTTATCACCGAGCTTTTGAGAATAAAATTCCACTTTTAACGCAAAGAGTGAACGCCGGCAGTTCCATCTTGAAGTAATCAGGGCTTAGCTCACTAATACCTCAGCTATATTACACTTTTTGTTTTATTTACCTTTGAATCGGGAGAAAACCTTCGGATAAAGCATTTATTCATTTTCTTCGCCTTCCTTTATTCTAAAGCGCCTCTTCTGGCATTGCGTTCGACGGGTCTTACCTCACACGGAGCATTTAGAAACTTCCATAGAAGTTTTTTAAGCTCTAGGCCGTGCAAAAGCCACCGAATATGTTTTATATAATCCCTACCACGTAAGAAATTCTCGTTTTGTAAGCTAAATCCCGGAAACGTAAAGAACTCGAGACTGTTTGCTCAAACTGACATCAAGGAGCTATCTCGACATTTGCTAAAAAGAAAAAAAAAAAAAAGAAAGGATGTCTTAAAATGTGCATTCACATGTGCTTGTGTAAGGTAACGGCATTCTAGGCGGAGCAGTTTGTTGTTTGACACGAAAGTTACAATTAATTTAGACGAAATCTTTAAGGTTTCACGTTGGTTCGGTGGATTACAGAATCTGTTCAAGGTTGGACCTTATTTCTATGCATGTTAATAATTAAAGGGAGTTTCCTTTCTTCCTACTTTGGGTTCTTCATTAATCTGGAGCGTATGCTTTCCCGCAAAGCCCTTGGAAGAGTGAATCGCTGCATTCTACCGAGGAATTGCGGAAGATGACGAGGCAGAATACGTATAGACCTCGAAAAACGATCTGCGCTCTGGCTCTGAGCACAAAGTTTTGACAAGTTCTGAGCCTCAGCGCAGTCTGTTTTCTTTTTGTCGTCTTTTAAACCTCGTCTTTTGTCGAGCTCTTTCTTTTTCGATTACTGCGAAATAACCTCTGTATACGTTTCCGGAAAGCAGACCCTCCGGAGTTTTCGGAGCGTTCCCCCGTAATTTATATCGACGTTTTTCGAAGAGAAATTGTACATCGTTTGTATTCGCGTATCCAGCTCGGCGCTCGCCCTCCCACGGCGGAAACGGGAAGCGCTTTAGTGAGGGTCCCCCGATTCTCCTGCTCAGCGGGCATGGCGGAACTGCTCGCGAACATGGCTGGCGAAATGTCGTTTCCGAATGCAGAAGACACTCTTCACTGTCCCAACGTAGTGCTGCAATCGGTACGGGATTGTGCCTTACTGGAGAGTTTTAGTATTGCGCATAGAAGCAAACGCAAGCGGTGTGCGTTTGTGTTAGAGTTGCGTGCCCCACGTTGTGCGTGCGCCTCATCGCCATGCGCCATCCAAGACCGCAATTTCGGGCTCCGCGCACGCGCAGTGTGGAACGCGCAAAGCTGACGCAAACACACAGGGCTTGAGTTCGCTCGTATACGCAATATTAAAACTCACAACTGTTTCACCGGCTTCCAACGCCAACGAAACGTGCTGCAGTGAGCAGACGTGCAGGCAGGTAGGCGTCCCTTCGCACTGGAAAGGCTGAGATTGGCAATACGACGGAGCGTGAAAATGAAAGTAACTAAATGTAATGAAAAAACTAGTAATTAAACGAAGGCTTTTTTTTTACTTTTGGGCATTTGGTCTGGAAGTATATTGGCGGCGACTTTGGACGTTTCGCCGATTGTCAAAAGTCGCGACTTTGATAGCACAATATACTTTACCCTCAATTAATGTATTTTTACATGGATTTATCACATTAGCTAAAATGTTTTCATTGATTTTAAACTATTTTTATTTTATTTGTAATTAAAATGCAGCACATGGAACCAGTGATGATAATTAGCACAGTTTTCATTGCCATATTTCTTCGCGCGTTTAAAATTAGATCATAAGCAACAAATTATATTATAGCTTGAATAATTACTTATTCAAAAATGTGAATTTTAATATTATTATTATAATACAAATCGCGGCAATGTATGCCTCTAATTAACGCCAAGATCACGAGACACTCTATTTAACCCTAATAGTCGTTCCAGAAAGGTATAATTCTGTTTTCTTTTTAGCATATGAAAAACTCTTACATAGTTATCAAAATAGACAAACAGTTAAACGCTGGATGTAATATGAAGTCCTAGGCGTCACAGCGGTGCTATAAAAACAAACACACACACTTCAGCTGTCTGACTCGGATTTTGTCTTGGGTTGTTGCAGTGAGAGCAGCGTTTATCAGTTTATGCGTTTCGTGGACATTTTGTAAATATTGGAAATATTCTCTTATTCTTGTGCTGGGATAATTGTCATTATTTCCTATGACAATTATCTGAGCGAGAAAAAGGCAGCGAGAACGCACAGATACCAGCACTGATTTTTTCAACAACGACGAATAGCAGCCTGGATCGAACAGTATGCCACAAAATAAAGTTTCCGCGAACAACTTTTCTAAGTAAATAATTACGATGTGAGACACATCTTGAGTCATGAAAGAATCCGAAATTAAGACATCTGTCGAGAAATTAAATCCAAAATAGAGGTAAGTTTCGGTTTTGCTCCAGAATTAAAACGCGCATCCTTCCGTAATTAATGCGCTAAACACCGTTCTTGTTTTCAGGTTAAAGAGGAGACCTGCGCTCATAAAACATTAGCTTCCTCGTATCACCAGAAATAATTTATGTTGCTCAGTGAAGCCAGCACACTAGACGGGCTTAACAGCGGCACGCATCTCTGACCCTCACTAAACCCGCCATCTTGGAAAATGAGTGGCGCCACCTATAGTTAGTTGGAGTTGCGAATTATGCCGGTTGCATATGCCTCGGCTGGTTTCGCGTCTTCCCTGCATGCCCAGACGTTATAATATTGAACGGCAATTATTCTAATATGTGGGTCGCTGAAGTCGTCATGTCCTATATAATAAATTCGTTATTGCCAGTCTTGCACTTTGATCAACTTTTTTTTTTTTTTTTCAGTATTGCACACACACAAAATGATGTGGTGTCATTACACTCAGAATATAGATTGCCGAATAAAAGGGACGCGGAACATGGTCTGTATTGTCTTTTTTCTTTATCGGGACACGATAAAATTAACATATATCTATATATTATATTATATTTTCGTAAAGTTGTACTCAACACGATTCTTTCGCAGGATTTATTAGTCGCACCTAGTCGATTTCCCGCAGATGTAAATTATGGGCCTCCACTCTCCTACGCTACGCGTAAAAAAAAAAAAAAAAAAGAGCGGCAAAAAAAAAAAAAAGGCGACAGCAAAAAGAACGAAGCCAGTTGCAGCATTCGATCGTATCATGGCGCCACCGGCGCAGACCGGGTCGCGCATGCGTACGAGCGCACGTTCCACCTCCTCTCCCACCCGCCTCGGCTTTTCTCTTTTCCCCCTCCCCCATCTAAGTCACGTGACCACTCCCACCAGAGCGACTTCACGTGGGGGAGGGGTCCGGGGTTTGAGGACCGCGCTGCGAGTCTCGGAGTTTTGTGGCGCGCGTGCTGGTCGGTTCTGCAGCGTGCCGGAGTCATGAACCGGTCGCGGCCGCGCTGCGTTGGCTCCGGAAGACGAAGTTGCGGACACCGAAGGAACGTGGCGTTCGATCAGTGACCGACACGCGAGAAGGAAAGTGAAGACCCAGTGTTGCCAGCGTCGTCTTGGACGAACGTTGCATCCCCTTTTTGATGGCTATCCTCAAGTCATGTTGTTGCTGGAAGACGCTCCGCAGCGGGAGTGTTGCCTGTGGCATCTACACGTTGGTGAGTAGTGATCGACCATCGTCGCTTTAGCCCACTGTTGCTTCTTGGTAGTCCCGCTAGACAGCGCGAGCTTCCTATACTTTCGATAGTGCTTTGGCATCTCAAGAGCCTCGATCGCACACGTATCCAAAGCACGACGGGAAATCCCCGCTCTGTTGTTCCCACTCTGTCAGTGGCTACACTCTGTTCACTTTCCTTAAGCTGAGAATGCCGCCAAAGCTACAAGTGCGAGCTAGCCCGCGCTCCTGGCTCTGAGACGTGCATTTCTAGAGCGAGTGCTCGTTCTTCGGTAGAACACTTCAAAGCAACGACCTCCAGCTCTAGTGATTGTGGCATTGGCCGCACTCAAAGCTAACGGTGAACGTATAGTATATAGTTCATCTCACCAACACCTACAGTGCAGATAAAGGTGTGGGCACGAGCGCGTGGCTTTGCAAGCTTCCTCCTATGCACGAGTTCGCGTACAAATAAAAGCGTCTTGCGGTGCTAGGCTCACGCGCTGTTGCCTTTGTATTTACTGCAGACAAGCGTATCTTGCGGCGTAGAAAAATCTATTGAACTTGTTAAAGGGAAGCTGAAGAAGTCCTCGAGTTCGAACAAACAGTAAAAGTTATAATGGAGACGCTTTAAAAATGACGTGTCTTAAGTTTTCTTTTGATCTTATGAGCAGGCGCGTCGTAATAGTCAATGAAAAGTTTGCCACCCGTTGCGGCGCGCCGAGGATCGGAAAGTGCGAGAGCGGAGAGAAAAACTAGCGAAAGTGACGTCATCAGTGGAGTTCCGTTGCTCGCCACTAAGCTGGCCTGGGGATACCGACGATGCCCTCACGACGCTCTGGACAGATAACATGCGGCAGAGAGGATCGTCACATGCCCGGCACCAATCGCTGCACGTATTTTTCGAAACAAATGCGGCCTAGGCTTATTTCAGCCCAAGCTAAGTGCGATACTTAAATTCACGGGACAAAAAACTATAGAAGTCCCGTGACTCAGATTTTGTTTAAAAGCGTTTGCTTACGTTGTTTAGCCTTACGTTATGAGACATCCGTGCTTTGTATACGTCGCGTGCAAAAGTGAAAAGCTACAGGCTAAAAAACTGGATGCCACGCTTCGTACGAAGCGCGGATGTTCCGGCGACTCGTGACATGAGCATACATCAGTTTCCCTAACATAACGCAACGTAAAGTAAACCTTTCTGCATGAATGAGCCATTAATGTGCAGGTTTCATGTAGTGGGACAGTGGAGATAATAGCGTTTTTTTTTTTTTGTACAAGTCAATCTCTTCGACTTTGACGAAGCTATTGGTATTCAAGAAATGCAAACCGGAAATTTTGTGAATGTACAATCTACATCTCGACAAACTCGCGTAAGGGACACAGTGATAGAACCTTCAGTTGAAATAATGAAGGGCACGTAACTTTTGTGCATTGTAAGCTTGGTTAAGGAGCAGAGAAATTACGAGGGTTTGCTTCAAGTAACTTCTGTAACGTATCGAATATACGCAGGTATTTTGATCTGCACCGGTTTGCATGCGCTTTGCTCGTACGCGAAAAAAAATATTTGATGAGAGAAAGCGAGCTCGTTTATGTAAGAAGGGAAGCTTAAACGAATTGATTGGCTTCTTGAGTAGAGCGACGGTTGTAATGAAAGTAAAGTATAATAATACGTTAAAAAACAGTTTTAAGTTTCTCGTGCCTAACTCGCACCTTCATTTTGGGTAAAGGCAATCGCTGAGTAAACTCAGAAAAAATTATAAACTGCACCAGATCCGTCATGTTTTTTCTTCATATACACGAACAGAACAGAGAATATCAACTATCATAGTTGTGAACCGCATAAACATTTTTAGTTATTCTAAAAAAAGGAACGTCAGCTAAATACCGTTGATTCGCGAGAAGAAAAAAAAAAGGCATGCCTTTCTTATCGTTCGTGTATACAATGCATAATTGAATTATACTTCGTTTCACCTTATATCCAAGCGCGGACGATATTATGATCCGAAGGGCCAATTAAACAGCACAAAAAGCGCAACGTCATGGCGTGCTCTCTGGGCTTGATAAGACTATCCGGCGGAGGAGCACGCACACAGAGACGGCGAATACCGGCTGGTCCTATCAACTGCAGAGAGCACGCCATGGCGTTGTGCCTCTTTCGCTGTTTGATTGGCCCTTCAGCTCATAACATCGGCCGCGCTCGGACCTAAGCTCGGACGAAGTATAGAACTCTTTATCAGAAGTTTTTAATCACAAATCAATGCCCTTTTTTTTCCAGAACTGAAAGGGTTGCGTGAGGTGTCAAAACGCTTTGCCGAGATGTGAAAAATTTGTATTATTTTAAGGCAGTATAAATAGTATTATTGATAATTATCAGTAGATCCCTGCATATCCGCGGAAATCCGCAGATAAATTGGCGTACACGGATAAAAAGGAATCAGATTTGGCGGATTTCGGATCGGATGGGGATATCCGCCGGTCCGGATCTACATTTTTGCCGAGGCGGCCCATGAACGTGTGCGACCGCACTGTGTACAGTGAATAAGAGAGTGATGGCTATGAAGGGCATCATCGAATGTAAAGCGGGGGTAAACTACTCTTTTAGATAAAATGTGCCGATCGAAAAGAAAATTGATCTTTACGTCACGAAAGATTCGATTCTTACCCATGATCGCTTTAGAACGTTCTATCTCGCCAGAAATGTCCCTGGAAAGCTTGTTCTTCTATGGTAGGGAAAGAACGGAAAACGGTCTTTGGGCGATGAAAGCCCAAAACGTGGAAGCCGCAAGAAAGTAGAAGCTTGCAAGTGGCTTCTTGGGCTACAAGTAGGTCGAGGAGACTGAATTCGACCCTCTGGAACGATCGAACTTGAGCCAGCACGAGTTCCCGCATCTTATTAGAGAGTTTTAGTAGATCGTTCCGATACCTCCGATAGCCCCGATAACGATACTATGCATGCGCAAGGGAGGCGGTGGCGGAGTATCGGGATATCGTTATCGGAGGCATGGGAACGATCTACTAAAACTCTCTATTATTGTAGCGCAGTTCGTGTATGCCATCCCAGCGTCAAGTGCACCAACGGAGAAACACTTCTCATTACCGGGTATTAATTTAAGAGAGGCGAACTAGTCCTAATCCGTCCGTGTTGACGATATTCTGTTCCCTCTATACACAGCAACCTCCACAAGTGAAAGGTTGCGTGTGTGCGCGTTTTCTTTTTATAGACAGTTGGCACTGAGTTGTCCTAAGTATATGCATGGTTATGAGCATGCAGTTGAGGGTTAGCCTTTAAAACTGAAACCGTTAAGAGTTGTTTCCATTATTGAATATTGTGATATTTATCCAGTAGTGTACTCCCGTTTTACCATGTACACGAGTACTTTGCTGCGGTGATTGAGCGCCTTTCCTTTCCCGCTTTTGATTGTTCGCCTTAAATAAAATGACACAATGCTATTAGTCTGTTCTTTGATAATTTTCATGTTTATAAAAGATGCGTCTGCTTGAAGTGGGTTTTGCAAAGAAAAAAGGGAAATGAATACTAAATTTTCTTCCTTTTGAGCGCATCTTTTGTACAGAGCGATGCGAAATGTCTCTGGAAGATAAATACGATAAAACAGAATACGATAAAATGACTCTCACAGTATTTTGACACATAGAGGTTGTTTTTTTTTTTGCACAAACGTAAGCAGACGGCTTATAGAATGCCATTCAGATGCTTTTTTTACATTTTTATTAGTGCTTTATTTTGTGAGTTAAATTGAATACGCGGACTGAGGGTCGGATGCGGTTCCGAATTTTGCGGTTGGGGTTCAAATGTGGATAAAACGTCTGCGGATGTCGTTCGGATGCGGATGCAATTATTTAAGGACATTCCGGATGCGGTTCGGATGCGGATGCGAAGTCTGCGGATGCGCATCGGATTCGCACGAACAAACTGTTATCCGCGCAGGGCTCTAGTCCAAGGGAGCGCACGTCGGCACCGTTCCTGCAGCGCGGGAAATGCACGCAGTTATCTGCGCCAATAGTTAACAAATATGTGATTAGCAATAACAAAGAATGCGCAGGCGAGCTGGTGAACTTTGGACAACTTAAAAAAAAAAAAAATCCGAGACTTTAGAACAAAAAAGTGAACAATCAAAATGAAGACTCAAGATATTGTGGCGGCACACGCGAGCCCAATAGGTAACGCAAATATTATTAAAATATAATGCAGTTATAAAATAAAATTGACGATATAAAAAAAGGCGTGTCCCCGATAACGGGCTTTTTAGCTTCTAGTGCACGGGTGATGTTGCTGAAAGAAAATAATTGTAAGCCATTACATTTTTTTAAAAGTAATTTGAGACTTGACCATACTTACTGACGGCTTAAAAAACATCATGCGTAGAAAGAATCGAATGCACGGAGAGCGTGAGGGAGAGGAGGTGACGAAAGGTGATGACAGAACGCCGAGCTCTGATTGGAGCGATTAGGGGGTAAAGCTAAAGCTAGCTGCCTCTGTGTCCACTGCACTCGTCGAACGGGTTCGAATGCGACAGCCAAACGCCGGACGCCTGCGCTCCGCGTTTTAACGCGTTTGACGAGTGCAGGGTAGTCAAAGTCAAAGTTTATTTTGGTACAAATGGTTTCAGTACAAATACAAAGTATATTCAGGCAAGCGTCCCAAAGTTTTTAGAGAAAACTGTTTTGCGGGTGCTTGTTTTTTAACAAGGTGAGTTGGCGATTCACTAATTAACGATACATATAGCTAATTAGTTCTAAAAGGCGAGAAAACGAATGAAAGCACTGCGTGTTAACGCGCTTCTATTCATGCTCGTATTAATAAGCAACAAACAAAAAATCTTAGAGTATGTGACAAGCGCTTAAAGAGAAATATACTTTTAACACACACACAAAGAATACTAAGACAGTTGTAGAGCATATTTTTTTTTATGATCCATTAAAAATTAGCGGCACGCAGTTTGATATTCATAGCTAGCTGAGAAAAGGTGAATTAATAAAAAAAAT